GCGCTGGGATCAGCGCGTGCGAGAAAGGCGCGCAGTGGCAGTGGGCTCTGACGTTGGTGAGCGAGATGTGGGAGGTGAAGCTGGAGCCCGACGTCCTCAGCTACAATGCTGGGATCAGCGCGTGCGAGAAATGTGAGCAGTGGCAGTGGGCCCTGGCGCTGCTGAGCGAGATGTGGCAGACGACACTGAAGCCTGATGTCGTCTTGACTACATTGCAGGGCCCCGCGCGTGCGGGAAAGGCGCTGTCTTAATAGCTCCTCCAGCGACCGGACGGCCCCCAGACGCTCCCCAGACGCCCGTACCGCGACGCCTGTGGCGGCCAATCGGGGTCTCAAGAGGCCTCCGAGATCCGGCAGGACTCCGAGAGGGTCCGAAAGAGCCCCAAAATGTCCGAGAGAGATTTCAGGCAGCCCACACGACCCTCGAGACGTTCCCAGATAGCCCCCAGAAGCACAAACCTTTCAAGTCATATGGGAAAACGTACCTGCTTGGCATTATCGTGCTTTTCGTGTTCGAAGCGTCCAATACGGCCATACAGGCCCCCGAGATTGCCCCAAGACGCCCCCAAAGAACCCCATGAGGGTCTCCAGACGGCCCCATTACGGCCCAGGAGGCGCCCCAGACGGCCTAAGAGGCACCCAAGACGGCCCCAAGAGCGGCTCAAGGCAGAGGCGCCCAAGATGGCCCAAGACCGCCCCAAGGCGGCCCAAGAGGCCCCCGCGACGCCCCAAGAAGGCCCCACGAGGGCCCCCCAGGAGGCCGAGAGAAACAAGGAGCCCCCCGACATCTTCAAACGGCCCCCCCCGAGGCCAGTCAAAAACAAGGCTCCACAAGGCGTTTCAAGGAAGGCCCGAGGACGGTACGCTCCTCAGACTCCGAGGCGGCAGCGCACGGGTGTGCGATTCGGGAAGCCCGGTTCCCGGGGCCCCCGGCCCTGTGCGGGCGTTGCCTCGGCGGCTCCGCTCGGGGATCGACGCCGCCCTCGGCGCCTAGGACGCCCGCTTGGCACCGCTGGGGCGTGTGCATTTTCTCGCGGCGGGGACCCTCGAGGAGCATCTTGGTGCAGCTTGCGAGAACGTGCACGCACGGAACCGAACCACGCGCAGGGAATGGACGTCCGAGCGACGGCGAGCCTCTTGGCTCGCCGGAACCTGCATCGGGCAGCGCCTGGCATGGCCTCGCAGTGCCCCGACGCGCCTCCAGGGTGGCGTGGCCCCCAGACGGCCCCCAAAGAGACCCCAGGGCGTTCCATTCAGCTCCCCTGGCGCCCGCAAGAGAGCTCCAGGGTGGGCCCTGGGAAGGCGAGGGCCCACGCCGCTCCCGGAGGGCCCCCAGAGAGCCGCGCAGGGCCTCATGGAGGGCGCCGCGACGGCGCAAGAGGCCTCGCGGAGAGCTGTGAGACGGCCCAGGAAGCCCCCAATGCGGCCCCAGCGCGCCCCGGCCCCGCAGACCCAGCAGCAGCAGAGCCAGTAGCGGCGCCCTGAGCAGCTTAGCAGCAGGAGGCATCAGCAAAAGTCAGCACTAGCAGGCAGCATCAGTCGCAGCCTGCACCAGTCAGCAGCATCGCCGAGCAGCAGCAACGCAGCAGCACAAGCACGCGTTCGTATCACCTGCGGCAAGCAGCGCGCATCAAGCAGCAACCGCCAGCACCAAGCAACAGGTAGCAGCAGCAGCAGCAGCAGCAGCAGCAGCAGCAGCAGCAGCAGCAGCATCAGACCGCAACAAAGAGGTGTCAGCACCAGCCAGCAGTTGGCAGCAGCAGAAGCAAGAAACAGCGCAAACAGCAGCAATTTGCAGCAAGCAGCACTTGGCAATAGCAACCCGCAGCAAGTGGGAGCGAACGGGTGAAGCGAACACTCGCGAAATCAGGCCAGCAGGCCAGCGTATAAGCAGGTAGGCATGCAAGCAATATGTTGGACCCGCACGATGTAGCCACGCAAGCAGAACTAGCAGCAAGCAGCTTCAGCCTCCATTGGCTGACAGCAGCGACAAGAAACAGGAAGTAGTGGCAGCACACATCAAGATCACCAGCGCTGAGCAGTGAGCAGCAGCAGCAGCAGCAAGCCGCAGCAAGCAGTCGCCTGCACCAACAAACAGGCAGTTGCAACTTTGCAACGGAAGCTCCAAACAGCGGCAACTAACAGCAAGCCGGGCCTCTCATCAGCAAGCGGCAGTCGGCGGCAGTGGGCGGCAGAGAGGGGGGGCAATCAAGCGATGAAGCAACCAAGCAAGCAGGCAAGCTTGATATCAGACACGCTGGCCAGCATGCAAGCATAAATTTCGGGGAGAAAGCTGTCAGGCCAGCAGGGTAGCAGCCACTCGCGCAGGTTAGCAGGAACGCAGAACATCAGGTATGCGATCCTAACCCTTGCATGCGAATAAACTGTCGTGGACGTAGGCCCGCGGGTCAGCCCTAGTCTCGCCTACACAGCATGGGGAAGCGAGGTCAGGAAGGGACACGGATCAAGTATCCAAAATCGACCTCGGCGGGCCCTTGGCGCGGCCTCGGTGGACCCCTGGCGCCCCTGGCGCGGCCCGGCGTGCCTCCAGGCGGCTCGAGCACGCTTCGGGACGCCTTCAGGGAGCGCCGAGATCGGGTCAAGAGCCCCAACATGGCCACAAGACTGCCCCAGAGGCCGTCCAGACTGCTCGCGGCGGCCAAAAGTCATTCACTTGTTCAAATGGTTTGTGCTTGATGTTGAAGATCCCGCGATTTCGAGCCAAGAGCGGCCCAATACGGCTCTTGGGACACCCCCGAACGCTCCAGGGCCGTCCAAGAGCTCCGGTAAGGGCCCCAAGACGGCTCAGGATGGCCCCAAGGCAGCTTCCGGAGGAGCACAAGACGGCCCAAGCGAGCCCCCAAGACGGCCCGAGAGAGCCCCCAGAAGCGTCTGAACGGGCCCGAAGAGACGCCCAAGAGGGCTCACGGAGAGCCCTGAGACAGCCCAAGGGCCCCAACATGGCCCCAAGACGGCCCAAGAGGCCGTCCAGACGGCTCGCGGCGGCCAAGAACTATTGATTCTTCTATGGGTGTTCCATGATGTTCAGGTTCTCGCGATTTCAAGTTTTGAGCGGCCCACGACGGCTCCTGGGCCCTCCACGAATGCTCCAAGGCTCAAGAGGCACGGGCAGAGGTGCCAAATCGGCTCAGGAGTGCTCCGAGACGGCTCCCGGAGCAGCATGACGGCCCGACGACAGCCCGAGAGGCGCCCAAGACGGCCCGCAACAGCCCAAGACTGCCCATGAGGCGCCCAAGACACTCCCAAGTCATCGCCAAAGCCCCATACGAGGCCCGAGGATACCTCCAAGTGGCCCCCACGAGAGCCCAAGATGCTGTCAAACTACTCCCAGAGACTTGAGGCGGACGACATTTTTCAACGCTCCGGGGGCCCTGCATGCTTCCATTCGGGGGGGCGCTGTGGACCCGCGATTCCCCAATGAAGATCAAGAGGATGATGGCACCCGTTCACCCCGCAAGCGGACGTAGTCCACGGGTTAGCCCTAGTCAGCTACAGCGCCGGGATCAGTGCGTGCCAGAAAGGTGGCCAGTGGCAGCAGGCTTATTCGTTTCTCAGCGAGACGCGAGCGGTGAAGCTAGAGCCCGACGTTATCATCTTCAACGCTGGGATCAGCGCCTGTGAGGAGGGTGGGCAGTGGCAGCTGGCTCTAGCGCTGCTGAGCGAGATGCACGACTTAAATTTGGAAGCGGACGTCACCAGCTACAGCGCTGGAATCAGCGTGTGCGGGAAGGGCGAGCAGTGGCAGCGAGCCCTGTCGTTGTTCAACGAGATGCGGAATTCAAATGCGAAGCCCAACGTCATCAGCTATGGCGCTGGCGTCAGCGCGTGCGAGAAAGGCAAGCAGTGGCAGCTAGCCCTGTCGATGTTAAGCGAGATGCGGGAAGCGATGTTGGAGCCCAGCGTCATCAGCTGCAATGCTGGGATCAGTGCGTGTGAAAAGTGTGAGCACTGGCAGCGGGCCCTGGCGCTGCTGAGCGAGATGCATGATTCGAAGCTGTTGCCCACCGTCATCAGCTACAGCGCTGGGATCAGCGCGTGCGAGAAGGGCGCGCAGTGGCAGTGGGCCCTGACGCTGATGAGCGAGATGTGGGAGGCGAGGCTCGAGCCCAACGTGACCCCTCCCTGCAGTGACAGGCCTGGCATCGCTCAGACGTGTGCATTTTTTCTTTCGGCGAGGACCATCGAGAAGCATCCCCGATCCTTGGGCGAAGAAGCCACGCACGAAACCGAAGCAAAAAACACACAGGGGAATGGGCGTCCGAGCGATGGCCAGCCAGCAGGGGCCGCGCGTGCGGGCAGAGAGGCCTGCCTCCCGTGGCCGCTGTGGGGCCCTCCCCGGCGGGCCCTACGCGGAGAGCTCGCGGGGGCCCTGCACGACCAGGAGCGCGACGCGTGCCAGGATCGAGCGATGGCCAGCAGGGGCCGCGCGTGCGGGCAGAGAGGGCTGCCTCCCGTGGCCGTTGGGGGGCCCTCCCGGCGGGCCCTCCTCGGAGAGCTCGCGGGGGCCCTGCACGACCCTGGGAGCGACGCGGGCCAGAATCGGGCCGGACGAACGGGGAGGAGGAGGAGGAGGAGGAGGAGGAGGAGGCGGAGGAGGAGGAGGAAGAGGAGGAGGAGGAGGAGGAAGAGGAGGAGGAGGAGGAGGAGGAAGAAGAGGAAGAGGATGAGGAGGAGAAGGAGGAGGAGGAGAAGGAGGAGGAGGAGAGGAGGAGGAGGAGGAGGCCGGACGAAAGGGGGGGATTTGGAAAAGGGGGGGGTTACGACACTTGCGGCATGCAGCTGGCTTCGGCCTCGCCGAGGGGCCCCTTCCTCGAGATACGTGGCCGCCTCTCCGGCGCCGGGAGGCGCCGGGAACAGCAGCTGCGTGAGCTGATTCTCAGACCCCCCCTTTGCTATCCCCCCCTTTCGCCCGATGCGTGCCAGAAGGGCGGGCGCTCAGGGCATGAGCATCGGCCCGGCGGGCCCTGTCAGAGCCGCCCCCCCCCCCCCGCGTGCCCCAGCGAGGCCCCCGCCGCGTGCCTCCCGGGCGGCCACGGGCCACAGGAGGCGTCCCAGGCAGCCCCGAGATCGCCCCGGGGCCCCCGGGGCCGGACGGTCTCCAGACGGCCAGGTCGGGGGCGGAAAAGAGGGGGGTGATGACTAGGGGGGGGTCGATAATTATCATGGCGGTGGGCATGATACTTCCCAGATTTTATGGCGCCTCTGCTTATTTCAATACGGTCCCGGCCCCCCCGCTGGGCCGCGCACATGCCGCCGGCCATGATTTGCAGCCCCCTCTTGGACACCCCCCTCTTGGCCGCTCCCGACCAGGCCAGACCACAGGCCAGGAGCTGGGGGACCCCGAGGACGGCCCGAGGGCGGCGACACGCAGAGCCTTCCCGCAGATGCTCTGCCGATGTTTCGGGCTCTCGCCGTGCCAGGCCCAGCAACGGGCCGGGCCGGCTCCCGGGGCCCCCTGTAAGAATGCCCCAAGGGGGTCGGGGAGGCGCCCGACGACAGCCCCACGAGGGCCCAAAGAGTGCCCCCCAGGCAGCCCCAGGGGGGGCCGAAGGCGACCCAGGAGCGCCCCCCAGACGGCCCAGGACGCCTCGGTTAGGACCCCGACATGTTGCCACGATCAGCCCAAGAGGGCTCGGGGAGAGCTCCAGGACGGCCAGCCCAATACGCACAACATGGCCCCCAGACGGCCCAGGAGGCTCCCAAGATGGTCGTGGCTTCCAAGAATAAGCGGTGTCTGGAGGCAGAAGGCATCACAGGCTTCGAAAGCCAGAGAAGCCTCCACAAGCACACCCCAGAGGGTCCAGGGGAGGCGTCTGTGCCGCCAAAGGGCGCCAGAAAAGCAACATCAGCATGGGGGATGATTCCCCTTCCTATTGCCTCGCAGCTCTAGGGCACCCCTCGCCGCTGCCGCCCAAGTGAGGCGAGGTACTCCAGAGGCCTCTATAGGGAATGCAGTCCCTGACGTACTCCGGTCCCAGATGCGCGAGGAGACGGTGGCGAAACACGCGCCGTTCACGGTGTGACCATTCTCGGACCCTCAGGTTCACCATGCAGCTCCCGTACGCAATCGACCGTGCAACACTTCCAGCGCCTTGGGGTGGCACCGATCCCTCCCATGGGCTTCCTGGGATTGCTTCCAGTCGCCTTGTCGGGGCTTCTTCGACGGCTGCGGGGCTCCCTGTGGGGACGCTCGGGGCCTGGAGACAGAGGGCCTTATGAGCCTCGAAAGCTCGAGGGGATCCCAAAGGCACACCACAGAGGGCCCAGGGGAGGAGACGTCTGTGCAGCCCTGTAAACAGCAACATGGGTGTGCGTTCACCTTCTTCAGGAGGCTTGCGCTATTCCGCCGACCACCCCAGGAGAGGCGGGGAGTCCACGGTTGAGGCGTCGTGGGCTTCCTGAGCACTAAGTGGGGACTCTTGTGGGCTTCTTGGGAGCTGATGGTGGCCCACGGATCGCTCGAAAGGGAGGATCAAACGCCACAGGACAGTTCAAAACGGACCGCGAGGAGCGTTAGGAGGCCAACAACGGCCCCCCGATGTCTTCAAGACCTTCCAGGATGGCCCTCAGACGGCCCGACAAGCCCACATGACTCCCATGGGCAGTTTGGCAAGGAATGCATTCTTCATTGTCCTCCGATGCCGAACACTTTGGATGAGCAGCAGAGCTTGATAGCACCTCAGCGCGCGAAGCGCGCGCGTGGTGCTGGTCTCAAGAGGCTCAGAGCCGGCCCTTGGCTGGCCATGGCGCGCTCCAGGTTCCCCCCGGCGGGCTCCAGGACGGCCCAAGAGGGCCCAAGAGGGCGGTCCAAGAGGGCCAAAGGACGCCTCCAGGCAGTCCAAGAGGTCGCCAAATATGGCGGTCAGACGGCCCCACATGGCCCGAAGTTGGCCCAAGAGGGCTCCAAGGGCTCCCCCAGAAGGGCCCCGAGGGACCGAAATCATTGATTTCCCGCCAGTTTCGAAGGGTTTTCGGCGTTGCCGCGTTTTCGGATTCTCGACGCCGCAGGACGGCCCCAGAGCCGAGGCCCCCAAGATGACCCCAAGACGGCCCGAAAGGCACCCAAGAGGGCCACCAGACGACCCAAAGAGGGCGCCAAGACGGCCCAAGATGGCCCCAAGAGCGCCTCAAGAGGGTGAACTCGAACTGTCATGTCGCGCCCTCCGCTCCAGAATGATCCCAGAAACCGCCGGCAGGTCCAAGAGGCCCCCCAGCAAGAGGCCCCCCAGAAGCCCCAGGAGGCCCCGAAGAGGCCCAGCTCAGGTCCCAAGAGACCCCCGAGAGGCCCCAAGACAACCTCCAAAACCGCCTCCCCTCCAAGAGGCTTCGGAAGGGAAGATTCCACAGAGAGGTTCTGGGACCGCGCCGGCCACCCATGAAAATAAGGCGCCAATGCGCCTCAGTCTGAACGGGCGACTCGTCGGGGAAATCTCCCCTGAAAGTGCTCCAGGCAGGCCAGCCATTGAAGGCATGCTCCGCATTGCCTTCGAACTTCTACCGAGCCCACGCAGCTCGCGCGCATCGTCCGACTTCCTCGGGCGGCCACAGCCACCATGAAACATCGTTGGAAAATAAGGCCCCCTGTTGTTTGTCAATTTACTGACTTGGCCTAACTACGGCCTCAAGGTGGCTCAGCATCATCTTGGGGTTGCCCGAAGAGCCTCGATTACCCGAACGGCAGCAGCACGGGCCAGGCAACAGCAGCAGCAGTGGCAGCACACAGCAATAGCAAACAGCAGCAGCAGTAGCAGCAGCAGTAGCAGCAGCAGGTAAAGGTCAGCAGCACGCACCAAGTAGACATGGCCATCAGCAGCACTCTACAGCCACAAGCAACAACGACACGCAGCAGCGGCAAGCACTACCAACAGCAGGCAGCAGCGGCAGTAAAGCAGCACGCAATAGCATGCGCTGAGTGCAAGGGTCGAACACCTCGTTAGAATTTCAACCTTTAGGCAGCATGGCCACAATCGCGTGCCAGTTCGTGCAGATTTCGCGGACAGACTCTACGGCTCGGCCTTGTTCAGCTACAGCGCTGGGATCAGCGCGTGCGAGAAGAGCAGGCAGTGGCAACGGGCCCTGGCGCTGCTGAGCGAGATGTGGGTGTTGAAGATGGCGCCCGACTTCGTCAGCGTCAGCGCTGCGATCCGGGCTTGCGAAAGAGGTGGGCAAGGGCGACATGCGATTTGGATGCTCACCAAAGTGTGGGATGCGACGCTTGAGCCTGATGTCCTTAGCTTTAGCGATGCGCTTGTCATTGCGATGCGCAGTGAATTGACCAGGAGTAAGTCTTCGTTTGTACAATCCTGACCAGGCAGGTTGAAGTATAATCCTGTCTGTGGCAAACACGTGCGAGAGAGTCAAGACGCCGCAGCAGACCTTGTCGCTGTCAAGGGCAACGTCATCAGCTACACCGCTGGGACCAGCGCTTGCGAGAATGGCAAAAACTCGCAGCAAGCTGTGCCGCTGTTCAGCATGGCGGGGAGTGCGAAGTTGGAGCCGACATCGTCGGATACAGTGATAGAACCAGAGCGTGCGAGAGGGCTGGATGGCTTCACCACGTGCTGGTCGTCCTGGTCCTTGGCAAGGTGCGCTCGAGCAGATTCAACCTGGACCTCTCCAGTGGCCATAAACTTGTGGGCAGGATGGGCGAGCAGGGCCTGCGCTGGAATCAGGTGCACTCACTGTTAGACGAGGTGCCAGACCTGCCGCGGGATGATGCGACCAGTGCGTGCGCAGAATGCTGGAGGCAGTCCAGTGTCTCGCCACGTTCCTGCCTTCATTTCTCTCCTCTCCCCTTCCCTCTTCCTTCTCTTATCGCTAGTGGTCTTGAGATTTTTGGCCCTGTCAAGGTTTAAAGCAAGTGGTGAGAGTGACAACATGTCTTGGCAACCCTGCTGGCCAGTGTCTTTCCTCGTCACCGTTGTTGTCGTCGTCGTCGTCCTCATCATCCCCCTCCTGTATCACACCTTCGCAGCTTCACGCTGCAAGAGAGATGCTAACTGGTTCAGGCTTGCTTTATCGAATTACGTTATCGCGGGGATTCGGTTTCGGTTTCGCGGTCGATTCGGTCTGTTGTTTGTTTATTATTGCGGCGGGCGTCTATGTCAGGCTGGTCTCGGGGTTTTGAGGACCACTTCAACGCGACACATGGAATTTGAAGCGATAAACAGAATCAGAAGCGATCGCAGTGGGATGCGAAGTCGTTTTCTCTTTGCCTGCTTCAGCATTGGGATCAGCGCGTGTGGGAAGGGCGACAAGTAGCAGCGGGCATTTACCTTGGTCAGCAAGATACGGGAAGAGGTGCGGGAACCCGATGGCGTCAGCTCGGATCATGGGTCCAGCGCGTGTGGGAAAGACGAGCTATTGCACCAGGCTCTGCCGTTACTCAGCCAGATGTGGAAAGCGACGCGGAGATATTGAAGTTGAGTATCTCCGCTTGCAAGGAGAGCAAGCAGTTGCAATGCGACTCGTTACCGTAGCTATGCAGAGCCAGCTGGTAAGATGCGATGGTTATCATGCGCAGGACAGCCGAACATCGGCACTTGTCGTTTGTCAGCCAGATATCGCCTGGAAACCTGGAGCCCACCCGACTGAGAGCGCGAATGTGATCGCGAGTCGCGCTTCGAGCGGCGCGAAGCACGAAATCAGGCGACAGGGCGGCTTGTCGGGCGTTCGGGCCTCAAGCCAATATGGCTCGAGACGTTTCACATGCCGGATGGACTGCGAGGATCTTCACAAGTTGCTTCTGCCCTCGGAGCGACCATAAAGCGATGTGGGAGTACAAGGGAGTGGAGTGCAGCGCTGCAAGTCTTCCGCGAAGCGCGTCAGACGCGCGTAGAAGTCGACCAACGGCTGTACTGTGTGCTCATCAGCGCTTGTGGAAAAAGCAAGCAGTGGCTACGGGCGTTGTCGCTTCTTGGCGAAATTCGAGAGGTTACTTTGGAGCCCGACGTAATCAGCTACAGCGCTGGGATCAGCGCGTGCGAGAAGGGCGAGCAGTGGCAGCGGGCTCTGGCGCTGCTGAGCGAGATGTGGGAGGCGAAGGTGGAGCCCAACGTTATCAGCTATAGCACTGGGGTCAGCGCGTGCGGAAAAAGCGAGCAGTGGCGGCAGGCTCTGGCGCTGCTGAGCGAGATGCATGATTCGAAGCTGGAGCCCAACGTCATCAGCTACAGCGCTGGGATCAGCGCGTGCGAGAAAGGCGCGCAGTGGCAGTGGGCCCTGACGTTGGTGAGCGAGATGTGGGAGGTGAAGCTGGAGCCCGACGTCCTCAGCTACAATGCTGGGATCAGCGCGTGCGAGAAATGTGAGCAGTGGCAGTGGGCCCTGGCGCTGCTGAGCGAGATGTGGCAGACGACACTGGAGCCTGATGTCGTCTTGACTACACTGCAGGGCCCCGCGCGTGCGGGAGAGGCGCTGTCTTAATAGCTCCAGCGCCCGGACGGCCCCCAGACGCTCCCCGGACGCCCGTACCGCGACGCCTGTGGCGGCCAATGGGGGTCTCAAGAGGCCTCCGAGATCCGGAAGGACCCCGAGAGGGTCCGGAAGAGCCCCAAAATGTCCGATAGAGAGATTTCAGGCAGCCCACACGACCCTCGAGGCGTTCCCAGATAGCCCCCAGAAGCACAAACCTTTCAAGTCATATGGGAAAACGTACGTGCTTGGCATTATCGTGCTTTTCGTGTGCGAAGCGTCCAATACGGCCATACAGGCCCCCGAGATTGCCCCAAGACGCTCCCAAAGAACCCCATGAGGGTCTCCAGACGGCTCCATCACGGCCCAGGAGGCCAAGACGGCCCAAGAGGCACCCAAGACGGCCCCAAGAGCGGCTCAAGGCGGCCCAAGATTGCCCCAAGACGGCCCAAGAGGCGCCCAAGATGGCCCAAGACCGCCCCAAGGCGGCCCAAGAGGCCCCCACGACGCCCCAAGAAGGCCCCAAGAGGCCCCCAGGAGGCCGAAAGAAACAAGGAGCCCCCCCGATATTTTCAAACGGCCCCCGCGAGGCCAGTCGAAAACAGGGCTCCACGAGGCGTTTCAAGGAAGGCCCGAGGACGGTACGCTCCTCAGACTCCGAGGCGGCAGCGCACGGGTGTGCGATTCGGGCAGCCCGGTTCCCGGGGCCCCCGGCCCTGGGCGGGCGTTGCCTCGGCGGCTCCGCTCGGGGAGCGACGCCGCCCTCGGCGCCTAGGACGCCCGCTTGGCACCGCTGGGGCGTGTGCATTTTCTCGCGGCGGGGACCCTCGAGGAGCATCTTGGTGCAGCTTGCGAGAACGTGCACGCACGGAACCGAACAATGCACAGGGAATGGACGTCTGAGCGATGGCGAGCCTCTTGGCTCGCCGGAACCTGAATCGGGCAGCGCCTGGCATGGCCTCGCAGTGCCCCGACGCGCCTCCGGGGTGGCGTGGCCCCCAGACGGCCCCCAAAGAGACCCCAGGGCGTTCCATTCAGCTCCCCTGGCGCCCGCAAGAGAGCTCCAGGGTGGGCCCTGGGAAGGCGAGGGCCCACGCCGCTCCCGGAGGGCCCCCAGAGAGCCGCGCAGGGCCTCATGGAGGGCGCCGCGACGGCGCAAGAGGCCTCGCGGAGAGCTGCGAGACGGCCCAGGAAGCCCCCAATGCGGCCCCAGCGCGCCCCGGCCCCCCAGACCCAGCAGCAGCAGAGCCAGTAGCGGCGCCCTGAGCAGCTTAGCAGCAGGAGGCATCAGCAAAAGTCAGCACCAGCAGTCCGCAGCAGTCGCAGCCTGCACGAGTCAGCAGCATCGCCGAGCAGCAGCAACGCAGCAGCACAAGCACGCGTTCGTATCACCTGCGCCAAGCAGCGCGCATCAAGCAGCAACCGCCAGCACCAAGCAACAGGTAGCAGCAGCAGCAGCAGCAGCAGCAGCAGCAGCAGCAGCAGCAGCAGCAGCAGCAGCAGACCGCAGCAAAGAGGTGCCAGCACCAGCTAGCAGTTGGCAGCAGCAGAAGCAAGAAACAGCGCAAGCAGCAGCAATTTGCAGCAAGCAACACTGGGCAATAGCAACCCGCAGCAAGTGGGAGCGAACGGGTGAAGCGAACATTCACGAAATCAGGCCAGCAGGCCAGCGTACAAGCAGGTTGGCATGCAATCAATCTGTCGGACCCGCACGATAGCAGGCACGCAAGCAGAACTAGCAGCAAGCATCTTCAGCCTACATTGGCAGGCAGCAGCGACAAGAAACAGGAAGTAGCGGCAGCACATCTCAAGATCACCAGCGCTAAGCAGTGAGCAGCAGCAGCAGCAGCAGCAGCAGCAGCAGCAAGTCGCAGCAAGCAGTCGCCTGCACCAGCAAACAGGCAGTTGCAACGGAAGCTCCAAACAGCGGCAACCAACACCAAGCCGGGCCTATCATCAGCAAGCGGCAGTCGGCGGCAGTGGGCGGCACAGAGGGGGCAAGCAAGCGACGAAGCAACCAAGCAAGCATGCAAGCCTGATATCAGACACGCTGGCCAGCATGTAAGCATGATTTTCGGGGAGAAAGCTGTCAGGCCAGCAGGGTAGCAGCCACGCGCGCAGGTTAGCAGGAACGCAGAGAAGTATGCATGCGATCCCAATCCTGGCGTGCGAGTAAACTGTCGTGGACGTAAGCCCGCGGGTCAGCCCTACGTAGTCTCTCCTACATGGCCAGGGGAAGCGCGTGCGGGAAGGGAAACGGATCAAGTACCCAAAATCGGCCCCGGCGGTCCCGTGGCGCGGCCTCGGCGGGCTCCTGGCGCCCCTGGCGCGGCCCGGCGTGCCTCCAGGTGGCTCGAGCACGCTTCAGGACGCCTTCAGGGAGCGCCGAGATCGGGTCAAGGGCCCCCAACATGGCCCTAAGACGGCCCCAGAGGCCGTCCAGACGGCTCGCGGCGTCCAAAAGTCATTGATTTTTACATGATCGTGTCTTGATTTTCAGGTTCTCGCGATTTCGAGCCCAAAGTGGCCCAACACAGCTCTTGGGGCATCCCCGAACGCTCCAAAGCCGCCCAAGAGCTCTGGCAAGGGCCCCAAGACGGCTCAGGAGGGTTCCTGGAGAAGCCCAAAACGGCCCAAGAGAGACCCAAGACGGCGCGAGAGAGCCCCCAGGAACCCCCAGACGGGCCCCGAGAGCCGCCCAAGAGGGCTCACAGAGAGTTCCGAGACGGCCCAACACCCCCAATACGGCCCTTACACGGCCCCAGAGGCCGTCCAGACTGGCCGCGGCAAACGGAACCATTGATTTTTCCAATGATATTTTAAATGATTTCCACCTTCTAGCCATTTCGAGCCAAGACCGGCCCAATACGGCTGCTAGGGCTCCCCCGAACGCTTCGAGGCAGTCCAAGAGGATCCGGAAAAGGCCCCATGAACCACCCAGGAGGGCTCCAAGATGGCCCAGGCGGCGCCAAGATGGCCCAAGAGCCGCCCAAGACGGCCCGACGACAGCCCGAGAGGCGCCCAAGGCGGCCCGAAACGGCCCAAGACTGCCCATGATGAGGCGCCAAAGACGGCCCCAAGTCACCCTCAAGACCCCCTACGAGGCCCGAGGATACCTCCAAGCGGCCCCCACGAGAGCCCAAGATGCTTTCAAACTGCTCCCAGAGACTTGAGGCGGACGACAGTGTTCAACTTTCAACGCTCCGGAGACCCTGCATGCTTCTGTTCGGGGGGCGCTGTGGACCCGCGATTCCCCAATGAAGATCGAGAGGATGATGGCACCCGTTCACCCCGCAAGTGGACGTAGTCCACGGGTTAGCCCTAGTCTCTACTACATTGCAGGGCCCAGTGCGTGCCAGAATGGTGCAGGCTCCAATGAACCAAAACCGCCCCGGGCTGGCTCCGGGCCGCCCAGGGAGGCCCCAAGACACGTCCAGAGGGTCCCAAAAATCCCCCAAGACGGCCCCGGAGAGCCCCGGCACGCTTAAAGATGCGCCCAAGACGTCCGAGAGTCGCCCCAGGCGGCCCTCGAGGCGTCCAAGACGCCCGAAGAGGCCTCCCAAGAGGCCTCCCAAGAGGGCCCCGAGCGACAGAAAGCGTCGATTTCTACTGTGTTTTTCTGTGTTTTCGGCCTCCTCGCCTCTTCGGCTTTCCGACGCTCCAAGACGGCCCAAGAAGTCCCCCCGACCGCTCCAAGACGGCCGAAGAGGACCCCAAGAGAGCCCCAAGACGGGCCAGGAGGGCCCCCAGACGGTCCCAAGACGCCGCAGGACGGCCCCAGGACGGCCCAGGAGGCGCCCAAGACGGCCCAAGAGGCACCCAAGACGGCCCCAGGAGCGGCCCAAGACGGCCCAAGACAGCCCAAGAGCGCCCAAGACGCCCGAGATTCGCCCCAGGAGGCCCTCGAGGCGTCCAAGACGCCCGAAGAGGCCTCCCAAGAGGCCTCCCAAGAGGGCCCCGAGCGACAGAAATCGTCGATTTCTATTGTGTTTTTCAATGTTTTTGGCCTCCTCGCCTCGTCGGCTTTCCGACGCTCCAAGACGGCCCAAGACGCCCCCCCGACCGCTCCAAGACGGCCGAAGAGGATACCAAGAGAGCCCCAAGACGGGCCAGGAGGGCCCCCAGACGGTCCCAAGACGCCGCAGGACGGCCCCAGGACGGCCCAGGAGGCGCCCAAGACGGCCCAAGAGGCACCCAAGACGGCCCCAGGAGCGGCCCAAGACGGCCCAAGACAGCCCAAGAGCGCCCAAGACGTCCGAGATTCGCCCCAGGAGGCCCTCGAGGCGTCCAAGACGCCCGAAGAGGCCTCCCAAGAGGCCTCCCAAGAGGGCCCCGAGCGACAGAAATCGTCGATTTCTATTGTGTTTGTCAATGTTTTCGGCCTCCTCGCCTCGTCGCCTTCCCGACGCTCCAAGACGGCCCAAGACGCCCCCCCGACCGCTCCAAGACGGCCGAAGAGGACCCCAAGAGAGCCCCAAGACGGGCCAGGAGGGCCCCAAGACGGTCCCAAGACGCCGCAGGACGGCGTCCGGACGGCCCAGGAGGCGCCCAAGACGGCCCAAGAGGCACCCAAGACGGCCCCAGGAGCGGCCCAAGACGGCCCACGACAGCCGAAGAGGCGCCAAGGAGGGCCTCAGATGGCCCGAAGACGGCCCAAGAGGCACCCAAGACGGCCCGAGAGAGCCCTAAGAGCCCCCCCGCGAGGCCCAAACGAAGGCCGAAGAGGCTCCGAAACGGCCCCTACGAAGCCTTCAGTGCCTTCAGAATTCCTTCCAGGAGCGGGGGAGCGGACGAGAGGCGACCGGCATATCGAAGGCACAAAAGAACAATGTTGGACGCTCCGAGGGCCTTCGATGTTTCTCTGTTGGGGAGAGTCGTCGTAGGATCGACGATTGCCGACCGAGGGCATGGAGAATCCAGCGAAAGAGGAGAAGAAGGTGGAAAAGGAGGAGGAGGAGGAGGAGGAGGAGGAGGAGGAGGAGGAGCCCGACGCCATCATGATTGCCTTTCGGCCCTGCAGCCGCACCCCCCCGCGCTTGCCCAGAGACCCCTCGCCACGTCGAGCTGATGTCGTGGACGGAGTCCACAGGTCTGCCCTAGTCAGCTACAGCGCCGGGATCAGTGCGTGCCAGAAAGGTGGCCAGTGGCAGCAGGCTGTTTCGTTTCTCAGCGAGACGCGAGCGGTGAAGCTAGAGCCCGACGTTATCATATTCAACGCTGGGATCAGCGCCTGTGAGAAGGGCGAACAGTGGCAGCAGGCTCTGGCGCTGCTGAGCGAGATGCATGAATTACATTTGGAAGCGGACGTCACTAGCTACAGCGCTGGGATCAGCGTGTGCGGGAAGGGCGAGCAGTGGCAGCTGGCCCTGTCGTTGCTCAACGAGATGCGGAATTCAGAGGTGAAGCCCAACGTCATCAGCTATAGCGCTGGCGTTAGCGCGTGCGAGAAAGGCAAGCAGTGGCAGCTAGCCCTGTCGATGCTAAGCGAGATGCGGGAGGCGATGTTGGAGCCCAACGTCATCAGCTACAATGCTGGGATCAGTGCGTGCGAGAAGTGTGAGCAGTGGCAGTGGGCCCTGGCGCTGCTGAGCGATATGCATGATTCAAAGCTGTTACCCAACGTCATCTGTACTACTTTGCAGGGACCAGTGCGTGCGAAATTGCGGGGGTCGAGACAGTTTTGCGGCGCTCCGGCGAGGCCCAGCAGACCCTGGCCCAGGAGGCTTCCAACAGAGCCCCAAGGCGTCCCAGGACGGTTCAAGAGGGCCTCCGAGACGGTCCAAGAGCGTTCGAAGACGCTCAAGATAGCTTCCAGACGGCCCAAGAGGCCCTCAAAACGCCCCAAGTGGGCTCCCAAAAGACGCCCGGCAGAGTTCGCACAAGCAAGAATCGTCCAAATCCCGAGGGAAAACGTACATGTTCGTAATTCCGGTGTTCTTTTGTTGTCAAAGCGTCCAAGACGACAGTACAGGCCTCCAGGATCGCCCCCAGACGCCGCAGGAGGTCCCCATGGGGCCCACACGACGTCCCCAGACGGCCCCGGGACGGTTCCTGTGGCGCCCACGACAGCCCGAGAAGCACCCAAGACACCCCCAGGAGCTGCCGAAGATGCCCCAAGAGGGCCTCCAGACGGTTCCAAGACGGCCCCAGGGGCGCCCACGACGGCCCCGGACGGCCCCACGAGGCACCCAAGACGATCCAAGAGGGCCCCAAGAGGCCCCACGGAGGCCGCAAGATGGCCCGAGAGGGCCCCAAGACCGAAAAGAACCCCCGAGAGGCCCCAAACAGTTCCCAAGGAGACGGCAGCGCCCGCCATCAGGCTTCGAACAGGCAACCGGAAAAAAGTCACCTGAGCCTTCCGGGTGATTTTTTTGTAGGCCCCAGGTTTTTTCAAAATAGTTCAAACCAGGGAGAGCAGACATGCGGCGAGAGGCACACCGCAGACCCACCATAGCCGTCTGTGACGCTCCGAAGGCTGTCCAGGTGGAGGTCGAGCAGAAGGCGGACGAAGAGGAGGAAGCGCCCGCCTTCCAACTTCGGCGAGGCGGCCGGAAGAAGTCACAGAAGGCTTCGGGGTGACGTTTTCCTGGGCGGGGGCCCACCCTCATCCTCCTGCTTGGAGGCTCATCGCACAAGACGGGCCAAGAGGCTCAACAGGCTCCCACGAGGCCGACAAGAAGCCTCGAGCGACCCAAACAGTCTGCACGGAGGAGGAAGTGCCCGCCGTCAGGCTTCGGGAAGGCGGCGGGAAAAAAGTCGCCAGAGCCTTCGGGGTGAGTTTTTCCCAGCCATCCTGTGGTGTTGGGTCTTTTTTTGAAGAGACAGCCAGCGCCCCGCGTCACCTCACTCCCGCTGCCCCCTCCTCCCCTCTCTCCCCCTCCTCCCGTGCCCCCCCTCACTTTGGCACACCCTCACAAGTTTCGGGGCCCCATAGCGAACCCCGCCGGAGGCCCAAGTGTCAGCGTTCGCATGCGGCCACCGCGCCCATTTTGGCACACCCCTCACACGCTTCGTGGCCCCATAAATAGCCCCACCGAAGGCCCAAATGCCAGCGTTCGCACGCGGCCACCGCGCCCATTTTGGCACACCCCTCACACGTGTCGTGGCCCCACAGGGAGCTCCACCGAAGGCCCAAATGCCAGCGCTCGCATGCGCCCTCCGCGCCCATTTTGGCACACCCCTCCAACACTTTCCGCGGCCCCACAGGGAGCCCCACCGAAGGCCCAAATGCCGGCGTTCGCATGCGCCCACCGCGCCCACTTTGGCACACTCCTCACACCTTTCGTGGCCCCACATAGTGCCCCACCGAAGGCCCAAATGCCAGCGTTCGCATGCAGCCAGCGCGCCCATTTTGGCACACCCCTCACACGTGTCGTGGCCCCACAGGGAGCTCCACCGAAGGCCCAAATGCCAGCGTTCGCATGCGGCCACCGCGCCCATTTTGGCACACTCTTCACACGTGTCGTGGCTCCATAGGGAGCCCCACCGAAGGCCCAAATGCAAGCGTTCGCATGCGGCCACTGCGTTCATTTCGGCACACCCCGCACGCGTTCCGCGGCCCCACAGGGAGCCCCACCGAAGGACCAAATGCCAGCGTTCGCATGCGCTCTTTGCACTCACTTTGGCACACCCCTCACACGTGTCGTGGCCCCACAGGGAGCCCCACCGAAAGCCCAAATGCCAGCGTTCGCATGCGGCCACCGCGTCCATTTTGGCATACCCCTCACACCTTTCGTGGTCCCACATGGAGCCCCACCGAAGGCCCAAATGCCAGCGCTCGCATGCGCCCACCGCCCCAGTTTTGGCACACCCTGCGCACGTTCCGTGGCCCCACATGGAGCCCCACCGAAGGCCCAAATGCCAGCGTTCGCATGCGGCCACCCCACCTACACGCTTCGGGGTCCCATAGGGAGCCCCACCGAAGGCCCAAATGCCAGCGTTCGCATGCGGGCACTGCGTTCATTTCGGCACACCCCTCGCACGTTCCGATGCCCCATAGGGAGCCCCACCGAAGGCCCAAGTGTCATCGTTCGCATGCGGCCACCGCCCTCATTTTGGCACGCCCCTTACACGTTTCGTGGCCCCATAATTAGGGAGCCCACCGAAGGCCCAAATGCCAGCGTTCGCATGCGCCCACCGCGCCAATTTTGGCACACCCCTCACACGCTTCGCGGCCTCCTAGGGAGCTCCTCCGATTGCGGTGCATATAACGGCTGTACCCATAAACTCCATATGATTGGGTTCTTCGCCAGGCCGATTTCAAACGTTAGGCTTGGGCGAGGACGCGAAGGCGATCGGGGCTCGCACGGCGCGGCGCCGCGAAGCTGTTGGGTGGCCCCGGATTCCGTTGGCGTGCTTAAGCTTCCGACCACGAGGCCGACAAGGCCAGCATCCCCCTCCGCTGCTGGCTCTGGCCCTCGGACTTACCCGAGGATGTGGAGGTGTGACGTGGATGTCAAAAAAAAACGAGGCCGACAAGAAGCCCTGGGCGGCCCACACTGTTTGAATTGAGGAGAAAGCGGCCGCCGCCGGGCTTCGGAACGACGGCAGGAAAAACGTCACCAGAGCCGTCGGGGTGCCCTTTTTTCGAACGTCAGGCTTCGGCGAGGGCGCGAAGGCAATCGGGTCTCGCACGGCGCGGCGCCGCGAAGTACATGGGGTGGCCCCGGATTCTGTTGGCGTGCTTCCGAGAGGCCGCCCAGGCGATGGACACACTGAGGATGCTGGACTGCGCCCAGGCTCGGGGCAGACGAAATGAGGGCAGGCCGAATTGAGACACCGACAGTTCGGATTCGACGGCACCCTTACCGACACGGCGGGACGCATCGGAGAACATGGTGCGTTTCGACCGTGGGAGGCGCCCGGGGACTAATTTTCACCCGACTTTGAATTGACCGTGTCTCGAACTTGCCCGCTCAGAGTCACAATCAACACGTTGAGAAAGATGAAGTGAGCCTAGAGCGGCCCAAGACGGCTCCTGGGCGGGCCCACCGCGCATGCTCCAAGGATCCAGGGGCTCCGGCGAGGGCCCCCAGACGGCTCAGGAGTGCTCCAAGACGGCTCCCAATGGACCCCAAAACGGCCCAGGAGGCTCCGAGACGGCCCGACACTCCCAACATGGCGTCTACGCGGCCTCAGAGGTCGTCCAGACGGGCCGCGGCGAACGAAATCGTTCCTTTTCCTGAGGCTTTTGAAGGACTTCCGCCTTCCATTTCGAGCCAAAACCGGCCCAGGACGGCTGCTGGGACGCGCCCGAACGCTCCAAGGCCGTCCAAGAGGATCCCGGAAACACCCCGCAACCACCCAGGAGGGCCCCAAGATGACCCATGACGCGCCCAAGATGGCCCAAGAGCCGCCCAAGACAGCCCGACGACAGCCCGAGAGGCGCCCAATACGGCCCCCAACGGCCCAAGACTGCCCATGATGCGCCCAAGACGGCCCCAGGTCACCTCCACGAGGCCCGAGGATACCTCCGAGCGGCCCCCACAGTGCACGGGCTCGCCCTCGTCAGCTACAGCGCTGGGACCAGCGCGTGCGAGAAAGGCGCGCAGTGGCATTGGGCTCTGACGCTGATGAGCGAGATGCGGGAGGTGAAGCTCGAGCCCAACGTGACCCTTCTTGCAGTGACAGGGGCTGCGCGTGCGAGGGCGTCCCGTGGCCGTGGGGCCGGCGGCCCCCGGAGAGCCCGGGGGCCCTGCGTGACCAGGCGCGACGCGTGCCCGCCCCCCCCCCCGGCTGGCCCCGACGGGCCCCCGCCGCGCGCCGCCGGGCGGCCCCGCAGAACGCCCCCAGAGCCCCAGGATCGCCCCGGGACGGCGCTTCCCAGACCCCCTCGAGTAATGAAAAAATCATGACGGGAGGTTTTTCCTAATTTTCGGCCTCCGGGGGCCCTCAACGGGCCTCGGGAGCGTCAAAAAACGACTCAGGATGCAAAGCCGGTCATGGGGACAGGGTCGGGACCTATGGGGGTTGACGTAATGAAAAAATCATTACGTCGGGGGTCTGGGTTTTCAGGAGGGAAAAAACACAGACACAATTCATCTTCGATCCCTCCGAAAAGATGGGAAAGGATGGGAAGTGGGGGGGGGGAGACACCAAAACCCAGACAAGAGGGGAAAGTATGGAGAATCTTTTTATATGTGTGTGTATTGATTTGTGTGTCCTGGGGCCCCTTCAGCTTTGCGGTGCCTGCAGGCCGCCGGGCCACAGGCCAGGAGGCGTCCAAGACAGCCCAGGGAGGCCCCGAGGGCGGCCCGAGGCGGCGAGGCGCACAGTTTTGAGTCGGGTCTGTCCCCCTACAGGGGGATTTTCGAAGAAAAATAACAAAAAAAAAAAAAGAAAAAAAAAAAAAAAAAACAATCCAAAAATAGTTCAAACATAGTCTGGGGACTATTTGGGGGATATTTTTTTACCCTCTTTTTTCACTTTTCGTCGAAAATCCCCCTGTAGGGGGACACGCCCGACATAAGCATAGCTCTCCCGCACACTGTCTTTCGATGTTCAGGACCTCGCCACAGGCCAGGAGGCGTCCAAGAAAGCCCAGGGAGGCCCCCGAGGGCGGCCCGAGGCGGCGAGGCGCACAGTTCTCTCCCGCACACTGTCTCTTTCGACGTTCAGGATCTCGCCACAGGCCAGGAGGCGTCCAAGACAGCCCAGGGGGGCCACGATGGCGGCCCGAGGCGGCGAAGCGCATAGTTTTCCCGCACATGCTCTTTCGGTGTTCAGGACCTCGCCATTCTGGACCCAGAACGGGCCAAGACGGCCCCCGGGCCCCCATGTAATGCCCCAGGACGGTCGAAGAGGCGTCCAAGACGGCCCAGGGGGCCGAAGACGACCCAACATTGGCCCAAGACGGCCCAGGACGCCTCGATTGGACTCCGAAGTGGCGCCAAGAGCGGCCCAAGAGGGCTCAGGGAGAGCGCCAAGACGGCCAGCCCAATACGCACAACATGGCCCCCAGACGGCCCAAGAGGCTCCCAAGATGGCCGTGGCTTCCAAGAACAAGCGGTGACTGGAGGCAGAGGGCCTCACAGGCCTGGAAAACCAGAGAAGCCTCCACAAGCACACCCCAGAGGGTCCAGGGGAGGCGTCTGTGCCGCCAAAGGGCGCCAGAAAAGCAACATCAACATGGGGGCTGATTCCCCTTCCTATTGGCGCGCAGCTCCAGGGCACCCCTCGCCGCTGCCGCCCAAGTGAGGCTAGGTACACCAGAGGCCTCTATAGGGAATGCAGCCCCCAACATACTCTGATCCCAGAGGCGCGAGGATGCGGCGGCGAAGCGTACGCAGTTCACACTGTGACCATTCTCTGACCCTCCGGTTCACCATTCAGCTGCAGTACTCTGCTTCGTTCACTCGTGCATCGGTCGCGAGTGTCTCGCGTTGCAGGTCAGCATAGTTCATGCCCTGAAGGGGACCGATGACGAAAAAAACGACCGTGCGACACTTCCAGTGCCCTATGAGTGGCACCAGTCAGTCCCTTGGGCTTCCTGGGATTGCTTCTGGTCGCCTTTTCGGGGCGTCTTCGAAGCCTGCGGGGCTCCCCGGGGGGGACGGTCGGGGCCTGGAGACGGAGGGCCTCACGAGTTTCAGAAGCTCGAAAGGACCCCAAAGGCACACCACGGAGGGCCCATGGGGAGACGTCTTTGCAGCCCAAGGGATCCAGAAAGTAAGCAGCAACATGCGTGTGTGCATTCCCGTTCTTCAGGAGTCTTACGCCATTCCGCCGACCCCCAGGGGAGGCGGGGAGTCCACGGTTGAGGCGTCGAGGGCTTCTTGGGCATTATGTGGGGACTCTTGTCGGCGTCTCGGCAACTTTTGGGGTGCCTGGCTGAGCCTCTTGAAGGAAGTCTTGAAGCTCCTTGGGGCCCGTTTTGGGGCCTCCTTTGGGCCTCTCGGGGCTTACCGGAAGCCTCTTTTGGGCCGCTTGGATGCTTCTTGGGGCCTTTGGAGGGCCTCTGGGGGGGGGAAAGATTGGAGTTTCGGTGCGTGTGCTCCCCCTTTGCCTCTCTTGGGCCCCTCTTGGGGCGACCTTTGGCCTCTTTAACACGGATTTGTATTCCCTTTACTATTGCCTCGCAGCTCCAGGGCACCCTTCGCCGATGACGCCCTGGAATGTGATGAAAAGTAACGTCATGTAGTGCACTGGAATGGAATGAAAGGTAATGTATTGTAATATACTGCAATGCAATGAAATGTAATGTAATGGAATGGAATGGAATGGAATGGAATGCATTCTAATGTAATGTCATGTAATGTAATGTAATGTAATGTAGCGTAATGTAATGTAATGTAATGTAATGTAATGTAATGTAATGTAATGTAATGTAATGTAATGTAATGTAATGTAATGTAATGTATGTACACATTGATGGATGTTTTGATGTATGTATGTATGTATGTATGTATGTATGTATGTATGTATGGATGGATGGATGGATGGATGTATGTATGTATGTATGTATGTATGTATGTATAATCATAAGTACATCGATATATATATATATATATATATATATATATATATGCATGTATGTGTATCTCTCTATATGCCTATATAGATAGATCGATAGATATATATATATCAGATGCCGTTGGGGATAGTTTGGGTTGCGCGCCCCTCTAGCCGTTGTAAAAGCCATTTGGGGAGCATGGAATGCCCTCTGTGCGGCCTTCTACGGGTATCTTGGGAGGCCTCTTCTTGGGAGCCTCTTGGGGATCTCTTGGCGGCCTCCGGGGGCGTCTGCTGAACCTCTTGGGCCGCTCCGAAAACACCTTGGCGCGACTCCGAAGGGGCTTCCTTGGGTCGTCTTCAAACCATCTTGGAGCTTTACAGGCTTTACAAGCTGTGCAATGCAGAGCACGCTCTCCTGGGAGCTGGGGGTGGCGCATGGATCGTTCGAAAAGGAGGACCAAACGCCACAGGACATTTCAAAACGGACCACGAGGAGCAGAAGAAGGCCAACAATGGGCCCCAGGTGTCTTCAAGATGTTCCAGGATGGCCCTCAGACAGCTCAGCAAGCCCACAATACTCCGATGGGGAGTTTCAAAAGGAACGCATTATTCACTGAATGTTCACCGATGCCGAACACTGTAGACTACAACCAGAGCTCAGTAGAACCTCAGCGCGCGAAGCGCGCGCGCGCGGTTTTGGTTACCAAAGGCTCAAAACTGTCCCCGGCTGGTCATAGCGCGCTCCAGGCACCCCGCGGCGGGCTCCAAGACGGCCCAAGAGGGCCCCAGGATTGTCCAAGAGGGCCCGAGACGCCCTCCTCCCTCCTCCTCCTCCTGCCTCCTCCTCCTCCTCCTCCTCCTCCTCCTCCTCCTCCTCCTCCTCCTCCTCCAGGCAGCCCAAAGAGGTCGCCAACAGGGCTGTCAGCTGAGGCCCCACGTGGCCCCAAGAGGGCCCAAGAGGGCTCCAGGAGCTCAGCTCCCCCAGAGGTGCCCCTCCTCCTCCTCCTCCTCCTCCTCCTCCTCCTCCTCCTCCTCCTCCTCCTCCTCCTCCTCCTCCTCCTCAGTTTCGAAGGGTTTCGGCGTCGTCGCGTTTTCGGCTCCTCGACGCCGCAGGACGGCCTCAGAGCCGAGGCCCCCAAGAGGGCCCCAAGACGGGCCGAGAGCCACCCAAGGGGGCCACCGGACGACCCACAGTGGGCCCCGAGGGCGGCCCGAGAGGCCCCCAGGACGGCCCGAGATGGCCCCGAGAGCGCCCCGAGAGGGTGAACTCGAACTGTCACTTCGCGCCCTCCGCTCCAGGATGATCCCCGAAACCGCCGGCAGGTCCCCAATTGGGCACCCCGGAAGCCCCGGGAGGCCCCGGAGAGGCCCGGCGCGGGGCTCCAGAGGCCCCCGAGAGGCTCCCAGACAAGACCGCCCGCCTCCAAGAGGCTTGCGAGGGAGGATGCCGCAGAGAGCTTTGGGACCGCGCCGGCCACCCAGGGAACTATGGCGCCCATGCGCCTCTATTGTTTATTCCCCTTCTTCGGACATGCTTCAGTCTGAATGGGCGACTCGTCGGGGTCTCTCCCCCGAGAGTGCTCCGGGCCGGCCGGCCATTGAAAGCATGCTCCGCGGTGCCTTCGAACTTCTACCACGCCCACGCAGCTCGCGCGCATCCTCCGACTTCCTCGGGCGGCCACAGCCACCATGTAACATCGTTGGAAAAGGCCAACTGTTGCTTTTCAATTTCCTCATTTGACCCAACTACGGCCTCAATGTGGATCAAGATCATCCTGGGCTGGCCCAAAGAGCCCCGATTACCCGAACGGCATCAGCACGAAGCAGGCAGCAGCAGCAGCGGCAGTACACAGCAATAGCAAGCAGCAGCAGCAGCAGCAGCAGCAGCAGCAGCAGCAGCAGCAGCAGTTGCAGCAGCAGCAGCAGCAGCAGCAGCAGCAGCAGCAGCAGCAGCAGCAGCAGTTGCAGCACGAGCAGCAGCAGCAGCAGCAGCAGCAGCAGCAGCAGCCGCAGCCGCAGCAGGTAGCGGTCAGCAGCACGCACCAAGCAGACGTGGCCATCAGCAGCACCCTGCAGCCACGTGCAATAATGCAAGAACGACGCGCAGCAGCGGC